GCCTCAAAGTGTCACAGATAGTCAGGCCAAAGGACCAGGGCTCCAGTCTTGAGAAATCTGAACTAGCAGCTGTGAGAGAGATTTAAGATCTACTCTGCCCTCAGCGCACCACAGCTTTTATGAGCAGAAACAATTTACCAAGTGAGATACAGGATAAGTGGAACTACAAAACATTGATTCATTTTCTTATTTCTGAATGTCACATTTCTCTGGGACACATTCACCAATAAGGTTCTGCAGAATCAAATTATTCTTTGCTCAGCCTCAGTTTTGCTGACAAAGGAGGGACATCATGGTCTGGACACCTGCCAACCTTTCTTTCAGTCATGACCCCAACGTTTTCCTTGTTGTTTCAGCACTTCATGCCGTAGGGGTCTCCAACACAAAGGGAAATTATCTCCAGTTGAGGAAGAAGAGAGTAACTGGCACATCCCTCGGGAGCAGGAAATACTTGGCATTGCCCACAGGGTGCCAGGTGAGCTGCTGTCAGCCATCCCTCAGCTCCACTGATTCAGGTGCTGATGAATGACAGGTGAATGTCACCAAGGCGGCCCCTCTTCTCCAACCTGTTTTCTACCTCTCAGTAGCACCCATACCTGCCCCTCTGACTTTTCTTTTCTCCTCTTTGCCCTCTTGCTCGCTACATTGTGAACTTATTCACTATGCCTTCATTGTGGGCACCTTTATTTAGACTTGAAAATGGGGGGCATCTATTTCACATATTTCTACTTTCAGACATGCTTCTCCAAACACTCTGTTCAGAGAGAGAAGCAGAGGAGCTGGGAGACTAACACATTCAGCTCTGAGATTCATTGCAGTGAGAGCAGCAAGATTTTTAGCAGATCTTGTTGGGGGAACAATTCCCTGAACTGGGAATTCTGCCTGAGGGCAACAGATATTCTGGGAGTGGAGGGGGCGATTGGAAAGTACAGAGAGAATTTTGAACTTTGAGAAAATTGAGAAATGAAAATTTGGTCCTAGATCCTTTTTCTTTTTAAAAATTTGTTGAAAAACATCCACAGACTGACAGGGAAATATCAACCACTCTGTGTAAAAAAAATGAAAATCCACACAATATACAGACACAGGGAGATGGGTTGATTTTAATTACATAGTGTTCTGGGGATATATTGTCTGGTTTCAAATGTACATCTCCTTGAAGAGCTGCTTAATCTATCACTTCTTAGTTTTTCCCCTGGCAAAGTGATTATAAATATGTATCTTTATTATTAAATCCATTTCAGAAACAAATGATCTAAACTATGCTAGGTGGTTTAATCAGTTTAAAACAATGTAAGTGATGCATGTTTCTTATTATTAATAGAGGAAATATTTTTGTGGATGTTTATTATACTGAGTATATATATATATATATATATATATACACTTTGATTTGCCTTTGTTTTGTCTGTTTCTCAAATAATTTTAATAATTATTTTAATGTTCAATCATTTGAAAACAACAACTCTCCCTGACCTTTTTATTTAACATAGAAAAAGGGCTGGCCTTTTTTGCACATGCATGTGAGAATTTCCTGTATTGTGGTGCTGGGACATTCAGAGGCTAGTGATTTTGTTGCTTCTGTTTCATACTGTCCCATCCATTCACATAATATATAGTTCATTCAAGAACTTTTTAGATACGCAACTTTCCTCCTAGGGAACGTTCTGATTCCTAAGCCTTGCACCCATTCCATGACTCAGTTCCCATCTTCTGGAACAAGCAAACTGCGAGCCTCCCCCACACGGACTCGGAGCTTCCTTTCTTATGGCAGGTGAGTGCAGCCTGAACCAAACAACTAAAAAAAATAAAAATAACTAGAAAGGGCATGCCATGGGTATTATTAATGTTTGGGAAGGACTGGGAAGCAGTTTAGCTTTTTAAAAATGATTTTTCATTCTGATATGTAGAAATTATTTTGTGAAGCTTTTCCAACACATTAAAAGGTTGACTTCTGACAGGGATAGAACTAAATACTTACAGAAACAGATTTACCTGATTAAATGATGAACAACGCAATCTTAGCTTAGAATATCAAATATTAATGGCATTGTTTACAAGTTTATAAATAAAAATACCATTTATATTGTGACATCCAAAAGCTACCCAGACTCACTAGACTGTTAATGCCAACACTCTTAGGGAGTGCACGGATATTAATTAGAATCTTCTAATGCTCAATTGTTTGAGGAGAAATTTTTATCAGAAAGTAATTTTGAGAATGAGGAAATTCAGTGTCTAGTACAAAATGGTTGCTTATGTATCATCATTCAAAGTATATGTAAAATATATATAAGTCCTAAGAGTGTCATTCCTATGTTTGTTGGCGAAACTCTCATCATACCCTGTACAGGGTGTCCTATGTCTTTCTTTCCCATAAGACACCCCCAGAGTTATGAGCAACCTAATATCACTCTACCAGGGATACACTGAGATAAGGAGAAGTCCCAAGAAGTAAGATTTTCAGGAAGATGGCAGTTACATGAAGCACTCTGGGACTAGACAAATTAATTTTACTTTTGAGTTGGAGATTTAACTAGCTTTGATCCCTTGAATGAGTAGGGTTACAAATAAATTGTATGCCTTCTCATCTATATAATGAAATTCTTATCTTTGAGTTTTTTTTCCTTGAGAAAATAAAAGCAAATGCCTGCTATGAAGATCGAACACCGAAGCTTGTGTCTGATCACTTCTATCACAGATCTCTAAATTTGTATGTCAAAATAAGAAAGAAATAACTGGTTGATTCATTTTAGTGAGATGTAATTGGTAAAGCAGAAAAAAAGTATGGATGCTCTCACAGAATAAAATTTGGTATTGGTTGGAATTTTCAATGCAATGTCTTCATCTTCCAAAGTTTCATTTGCAAGATAATTGGATTATCAAACCAAATTTATTTTTGGATACTCTTGCACTAGTTTCTGTGCATTTATGATCCTGTGTTTTTCATTTAAGTCATTATCCTACCTTTTTTTTTATACAGCTTTTTGGACAAATTTATGGAGGTGGATTTCTGGAATCCTAGGAGTGACATGCCTTTTGTTGATAGCTACATTGGGAATAGTGCTGGAAAAGTGTAAGTTTCTTTAGGCACATATCTTTCTAGGCAAATCTAAACTCAAATGAAAATATTTCATTTAATAATAAACAGTATTTTATTTCATAAAACTGTACCTAACAGTAAATATCTAATACTTTCTTATAGTGTTTAATACATCGAGTAATGAGTCAACCATTTCTCTCGGAAACATCACCAAATTCCAGATAGGTAAGTTTCATACTTTGTAAACTTTGGTGTTAGTAGAGGATTAAATGGGCAGTTTTCTGATTGTATCACACAGAATCATGATGGAATATTATACTTTGTAATACAGGTTGACCTGCTAACTGTAGGATAGTCTTATTACATTTTTTCTTGGTTGTAACAATTTTTAAATTACATTGAATATGCATCATTTGTAAAATCGCTTGAGATGAAATCGTTATTTCTGTTTGTTTTGCTAACATATCAAAAATAAGTAGTGTATCCTAATTTTCAAGCTGTTTGCTAATAACCCAAGAATTTATCTCTCTTTTGCTTCTACATCTTATATGACTCATAATTTAGTGCACAGATTTCTGAAGCTCTAAACTCACCTAGTGAAAGCCACCTTAAAGCCCAATTTTCAATGTATTTTATCCAAGTGTTATCCACGTTGTCTCAACATCTTTTGTGATCATAGCTTACTTCAAGTTTGTCTTTTTTCTCTTAGCTATTTCTTTCTCATAGAAATATAATTAATGTAGGACACTATGTATGATTAACATGTACATTATGTGGATTTAATACACTTACACATTGCAAGATGATGTCACTATAGTATAATCTAACAGCTCCAGTACATCCCTTTCTTTTTGTGGGAGAACATTTAAGACCTAGTCTTTTCTTGCAATTGGCAAGTATGTAATACAGTATTGCTTGAACACAATGCTGTGCATTACGGCCTCAGAATCTGATCTGCAGTTTACATCCTTTATTAATTTCTCCTCATTTCCCAGCCCCTACTAACAGCAAAAGCACCACAGTAAGCAGTCCAGTGTCTGCTGCGTATCTTAATTTTTGTCACTGATATCAAGAGATCATCACTGTGAAGTGCATGATGATACCTTAGACTAATTCCTTTTATTTGTCTTCCTTTAGAAAATCAGCTCTCAGGCACATATATCAGATACAATGTAATATGCACTTTATAATTAAAAAAAATTATACAAAAATAATTCTCCTTTAAAGGTCTTTTAGATCTAATTTACTCCCAGATGTAGTTACTCCTAGAATACACAAAAGAGAATAGATGCAACAGATAAACATTTTTAACCACATCTAGTCTATGCTCAGATAGATTTTCAAAGAATATGAAGGGAAAAATAAAAATTATAAGTAATTTTTGTATGAGTAAAGGATACTAAATACAGAATTTCTAATGTTGCTAATTATGCTGCTAATTTTGTTTTACTTTTTTTTTTTCTTAGACTTTGACTGCTGTTCTTGCCAAGAAAAGTGGGTTGGGTACCAATGTAACTGCTATTTCATTTCTAGTGACGGAAAAAGCTGGGATGAAAGTAGGAAATTCTGTGCTTCTCATAATTCCACTCTACTTCACTTGCACAAGAGAGATGAATTGGCATGTATTTGATTCTGGTTTTCTGTATGTTTTTGACCTAGGAAATTGAACTAGCCAAATAAGCAGAATAATCTGATTTATCTTTAATCAGATCATATGTAATTATCTTTTGAACTAATGATTCACTAATATCCTTAAACTTGAAATGTTTATAAACCTACATAAGAAGTTGTCAAAGATTTATGTTATTGTAGTAAAATTCAAGACAAATATCAAATAACATACAAGAAACATTTTAGAGAGAATTCAAAGAAGATAAAATATGTTTATTTTATTTAAACGGCCAACCAAATAACTAAATTTTAGTTCGTTAATTGAATTTATATTTTACTTGTAAATCTGTATATTTTGTCATCATTTTGGGGGTGTGGGTGAATTTGAAAAGTATGATTATAACTATTACCCACTTTTTAAGAAAAAATATTTCTCTAATCTCATGAAGAGTCTATGTAGAATATAGGTCCAGAAGGCTATAACCACAGAATTGATGCCTTAAGACACTGACATACAATGAAATTAGGATGTTGGTCTCCTGTGTAGGAAATATTTCTGAAAAATCTTAACTCCTTTTATATTTTCATTCTGTGAAGATGTGAGGTTTTGTGGTATTGTATTTTTTCCACAAGTAGATGACCTTGATATTTGAGGAAAAAGTAGGCTTGTGACTACCTTCTATGCCAAGCTTTATCAATGTTTTAAGTATGGGTGACTGAAAAGCTAAATCTGATGTGGACTCTTAACTTTTTAAAAAATGCTATTCCAGAGTCGATTGAAATTATGCTAATTTGTGTGTTTCTGTTTCTAAGCAGAACTTTATGAGATTCAGTGAATACTTTTACTGGATTGGAATTGTCTACAGTACAAAAAACAGTACCTGGCTGTGGGAAGATGGCTCGCTTATATTCCAGGATCTGTAAGTTCCTGCCAGAGTTTTTCTTTTCTTGATGAGCTTATTTTCCTCTCCCCACAGAATGTAGTGAAAATAATCTTCCTAAGGCATGAGAATACAAAAATAATAGGTTCAGCAGAATAACAATTTTAGCTGCATCTAGAAAGTCTAAGTATATGCTGAAGACATGAAGTTTGTGTATTGGTAGCTGTAAAAGGGCTCATAACTTGGATGTTTTAAATTAATTAATGAATTAATATATATTTGATCCTTTTGCTCATTTTTGTACAATGTATACTTTCTCCTCTCAGGTATAGTTCCCATAAAATTTCCACCAACAACAACACAGGCTTTTTTAATTGTCTATGATGATGTGTGTTCACCTGTGCAGGTTTACATTCATGGTCAGAGAAAACACTATATCCATGATTTTCTTTATTCTGCTAGAGCCCAGTATCTATAATTTCCCCAAATTCCTTATGACACAAATATCATGTATTTATTTTTGTACATTTGCATTTTTTGAATATCACTTTCATTCATAAACATGGAATTTCGAACATTCTGCAAAGACAAATTTGATGTCCTGATTAGCTTGCCTACACTAGGTTAGTCAATATATCTTGAAGCAAAATATATCAGATTTCAACTCAATTCAAATTAAAGGCAAAAATAAAATTCCATGTATTCAATTCATTTGACTATTGAGGCAAAAATCTTGTTTTTGTAATATTGTCCTCTAAAATCATGAAAACCGTGGCTATTGAATAAAAAAAATACTGATTCAGTATACAAGCATCATTCAGACACTTTGAAAGTTTTATCATTTAATACAAAATACATCCATTAAAATCTCTTTTCATTTTCTCATATATTAACAGTATTATTTTGATTACAGGTCATCACACCTTCAAAATGCAAACACAAGCAAGTGCATATCATACAATCCTAGCCTTGCTATTTTAGATGAACGCTGCAAGAAGGAAAACTTTTATATCTGTAAGCAACAACTTATTAAAAAGCTGCCTGTGGAAGACGTGCACAGTGAAAGACCACCTTAGGAATGGTAGCTTTAGCTCTTACACTATTACAGTTTTCTACTTTACAAGTTAAAAAAAAACATATTTCACTTGTTTCTGATCATATGATTTTCAGATATTTTTAAATGTTTTAGAATTGATGAATTTGTGTACCTCCACTTGAAACGTAAAGCATGGATATAAAGATACTAATTAATATTGTGATTTAATGCATATTCGGCAGTGAACTTAATCCATTTTGTGCTTAGACTTTTGTATATTTTTTCTTCACCAATTTAAATAAAACAAATTTTACACCAAATAATATATGCCCATGTATCTTTAGTCCTTTGTATGTTATACTACAAATTGGGGAGGGCTTTTCAAACATTTTTTCTAGAATTTCTTTCTTTCTGGATATCTTGTATGTTTGCATTTTCAAATTTTGGTGATTTTTTTTTTTATTATGTGTATTCATACTGGACTTTTTGCATTTAGATAGCAGGTGTCCTATGGGTTTCATGAAATGGTGTAGTTAGTTGAAGGATGAATAGGAGCAACATCTGAGCCTGATAGCAATGCTAAATCAACTTCACCTATGACATCTTTACAAACTCACACCATCTCCAAACCACTGACATCCCAGACACTTAGGATTACAACTCCCAGCATTTCAAGTACCTGTATAGAAACTGCTAGGAATTATGGCAGAGTTAAAAAGTTATGCTTGACTAAAACACTGTCTAAATGTGAGCTGTCACTTTTTTGCTCTGTGAGTTTGACTTTTACCGTGGTGTCTCACTTCAGATGGTATTTGTGGTAGGAAATATCAAATTGATCTTTCTTTGTCTCTTCTTCCTCTTATCACTACCTTTATAATAAACCTTTTAAATTTTCTGTTTTTTTTTTTTTCTGCTTTTGGGTCTTATCTCAAGTTCTTAAACATGAGGGTGAGAAGACATCTAGGTCACCTCATTTCCCTGGGGTTGCCCTGTACTGTATGGTGCTTAACAGTAGGGCCATCACACACATGGGTGACCAGTCTACAAGATTCTTTGTGCTTTGTGATAATGGAACTTGCAGTGGATTTTCCTGTCTCTACTTAGAGAAGCTTGATTTTACATCAGTAACCCTTTCTGTCTCATATTATTTGTGTTTATTAAGTGTGTTTGAGAATGCTCATTGGACACTTACAGTTTTGTGTTATTTTCTAAACCATACTATAAAGTCTTTTCCTACTTAAATACCTTTTCTAATTTCCATAATGTTGTACCTTTTGAATCTTTTCTATTTATATCCTAGTGCAGTTTTAGAAGCACCTTCAGCTTTGTGGGCCAGTCTTTATTGATGTCACTCAACTGTTGCATTGAAGTAAAAAGAAGATATCAATAATAGATAAGTGGTTTGTCCTATAGAAAATCTTATTTACAAAAATAGTGGAACAAGTTTTGGAGATTTCTGTTTTTCTTTCTGCTATGTTCTAGCTTCATGCCATTGTAATGAAACATGTTTAGTTTCAGTCTCTGTTAATGTGATAAGAATAGTTTTTAACACCCTTTCCTCCCTCAAACTAGAAATCAATTAAACAAGCAAATTAAACCACAGAAGATCTGTGCCCTTTGAACATCTCCAGATATACAGATATCATAATCTTAAAATTATATGTTTAAGTAAAGGAAAGAAATTCTAACAGAGCCCTTGCTCCAGCTAAGTACTGAATGCCTATGTTGCAGGTTAAGGGAATCCATCTTCAAAGTTTTCTATGGAAATGAGAACAAAGAAGGCAGATGAAATACAGACATAATCAACTAAGGATGACAATATTGCAACAACAAATTTCAAAATAGTTTATGTAGTTTTGGACTTGACAGATCATTTAATGAAGGAATTTACAATGTAAGAAGTGAGAAACTTAAGAGTGCATATTTATTTTCTCTCTAGGAGAAGTACATTATAAAGAAGAGGAGAGTTTCTTAGAAATGTGAATGTGAAAGTGAAGACAAATTTGGAGGGCTTGAGGATCTAGAGAAAAGAAAGAGAAGAAAAAGCATTGTCTTCATCTTCCTCAACTCTTATCTTTGCCATAGTGAAAGGGAGCTGAACAAAGTAGTAGAGTACTGAATGAAGAAGAATATTTGCACTAAAAGTCTTGACCAATAAGAAGTAAGAAAATGTCTAAAGTCTCCAACATGGGCTTTTTTTTTTTTTTTAGTAAAGAAACATTTTTTTTTAAGGTTTATTTATGCACACAGAACTGGGGTATAGGCCAGAGGTGCAGGGGTGGTGAGATGATTCACCAAAGACAGAGTGGGGAGCAGGACAGGCTGATTGACGAAGTACACTGCTGAGGGGAACAGCGAGCGAATCAGGAGAGGTCTGCCACGCCATGGGGGTCACCACTGGGGTGGGGATTGAACTCATGCTGAAGTGGATTTAGCTTCTTAGTGCTGTGTTTTAACCCACTGCACCATTAGGGAGGGCCCCCAACATGGACTTATTAATTGTTGTTCTGAGTAGACATTTGAATAGGCATTTATAAAATGCTAAAATTGGATATATTCCTCAAACTGTATATAAGCATAAACTTCAAAGTACCATGGGTCTCAATAAATAGGAAACCATATGTGTGATGTAACAAAACTGAATGCATTTCTCTAGGTCTGCCGAAAAGTTCCTGATCATTCTAATTACAATACAATGCAATATTATGCAATGCAATATTAGAATACTTAATTATTCTAATTAAATGCAAAAAATGTAAAGAGAGAGTACATGGCATAATATGAAACACCTAATAGATTGAAAATGAAATGGAAACTTGGAAAAATAATTTCAACACATATTACCCATAGAAAACTGAAGCCCTTCATATCCAAAAAAATGCTTAAAATAGAGGTTAAAAAGACCAAATGTCTATAGAACATAAATGGTAAAAATCCTGTGGAAAGTTAATTTAGCTACTAGATATCCAAGTGACAAAACACTAAGAAAATGAAGTATAGTCATTGTAAGAGTAATGCAAACTAAAGTTACAGTTCAGTTCGACTTCTGCTGTCTCAGGCATAAATGCATAAGCTTGAAGAAGCTTAGGGAGAAATCCACATTTACATACATTGCAAGAGGGAAGTGCATGGTACTGTACACAGCCACATGGCATAGAACCACGGAAGCACGTGCTACCCGACTTTCTTTTCCCCTCCATTCTCCCCTCTCTTCTCCTCCCTTCTCCCGTGCACTCCTTATAGTCTCCTCTCTATGCTCTGAGAGGAGCCTGATTATGCCTATTAGGCACTACTAGAGAAGGACTCCTCATCCCCACCCCACCCCCCCATATAATGCTAACTTAGATCTGCATTTCTTAATGATTAATGGGGTCGTCTTTTGTTCTTTTGCATAGCCTTTTCTGTGTAATGATTATAAATCATTTATTGATTTAGAATAGATATATAAGCTTAATACATATGTGTGCATACACTCAAACACACATATAAAAACCACATGCATAATGAAAAGCTGATCCTGGAAACGTCAAATAAAGTCAACTACTAAGACACTTGATAAAGGAACAAAGTTTTAACAGTACTGAGCTAAAGGTTTAATAAGTCTACAGTTTAGTTCTATGCCGCAATTTAAAAGCTAAAAATATATCAGTATTTTGGCTACATAATGGAAGTCAGTTGGAAATAGTAAAAGGTGGTAGGTGATTTACTAGCAACATATAGTACCTAATCACTGCCAAGAGAGGAAGAAGATAAACACAATCATAACCCTTAAAGTCATTAGAAAAGAAATTGCAGGGCCCTCCCTGGTGGCCCAGCCGGTTAAAACTCGGCACATCTAAGTGCAGCATGGCAAGCTGGCCATGACTGCTTCTGTGCAAATTCGATCCCTTGCCCCAGGGGGGACCCACATGGGGCAGCAGACCTCTCCTGTTTTGCCTGCTGCTCCCCTCAGTAGTGTGCTTCTTCGATTTGCTATTCTGCACCCTGCTCTGTTTCTGGTGAATCGCCTCGCTGCCCCTGCACCTCTGGCCCCTACCTCAGTCCTATATGCATAAAAAAAAAAAGGAAATCTTAAACAAAAAGAAAGAAAATAAATATGGTGTGATTGGTGAATTGATGGTAGGAAGCCCACGGGATTACAA